TTTATTTTATTAAATTAAATTACGAAAGGTATAAGAAGATTCTTACCAATTAACAATTATCCAACTACAATTATTAAATATCTATCAGTAGCTTATTTTAAGTACCTAGTTAGTACTAACCTTAGTTTAGTTTTGTTGTTTAATGGACTTATTATCAATTTATTTGGGTTTCTTGATGACTGGAACCTTGACGTTATTTTAATATGGTTCGTTGTCGATGAAACCTTGATATCTTTGATAACGCTTTTAAAATCATTACGATTGTTGCACATTTGTACCATAATTCATAATTAATAATAAAATATTTTCAATAATTGATAAATGTAATTACAACATGAAATACTATACCTATTAGATAAGTTTATCAGTTGGTGTGTTTCCAATTTGGTAAGTCTTATCTAAATATACTTCATAGACAATGTATTGTATTTTAAAACCTTATCAATCGAAGCGTCAAAATTAAAATGTAGGTATACCTACATTTAATTGTATCGTTAATTTCTTTATTATTATTTTTTTTTTTTTGAATTTACATTAATTGCTTTGCATACATTACTTAATTGCTACTTATTATATATATTTACATATGTATATTGCTACCTTAAGTTCTAAATATTTAAATCAGTTGACGGCGTTGACGCAGTTCTGTTGTGTTAATAAAATTAAAAAGTCTTTTGGCCATCTTGGGAGTGAGTGCTATTCTACGGTCAATATTAACTATATTGAGTATATAATATTACAACCTATTATATATCGAGGTATAATAATTAACATAGGCGCAATTTCAATAAAAAAAACTAAGGGTGCTTATGCTATGCATTTTGTCAATTTAGTTTTTTTTTTTTTTTGAAATAAGAGGTTTTTGATACATAAGCACGATCATTAGTTGAGGGTGCTAATATCCTCTAATAATCTCCCCCATTTGCGCCTGCCACCTATGATAATTAATAACAATTAGTATAGCTAATATATAATTTAAATAATTAACAATATATTTACGCGATTTCATTGTCAAAAATTAGTTTTACCAATCGTATTACTAATAGAATATATTTCTCTTACAGATATTTTAATAAATTGATCATTATAATATAAAATGTATACCTAAATATAATAAATATTATAATACATGCCAAATGATATATCTATATTTTAAAATATCCATAACGGGCATAACAGATATTTTCACAAAATTGAGTTTGTTTTTTTGGTATAACTAAAAAAAAAGTAACCGTAAACACAAAAAGTGTTCACTGAATATTTATAGGTATTAGTATTTTCTATAAATCTTATAATTTTCAAAATATTTTTTATGTTTCTAAGATAAGTATTTATAGGGATTTGATATAATTTTGAATTTTTTTTCCATAAATATCATCGATTAAAACATTTTCGATGAGTCAAAACGTTTTGTAAARCATTTTTACTCTAGATAGCTCATAAAGTCATAAGGCATAACTGCATAAGCTATTATTTTAGTGGATTAAYAATATTATTGGACATACCTGGCATGTTATTTTTATATAGGTATAAATTTAATGTTCAAATTCTGAACTCAAGTTAAAATATTATGAGACGTTTAATTTTTATAGCTAAATTATTGGAAATTTAAAACAAGGTTTATCATAAGTRTCTATTTAATATCAAAACWTAATATTAGGTATATTTTAACTTGAAATTTGCACAAAATTAGATATCTACTTAAAGTGTTTTCAACGAATATAACCAATTTTAGTTATCTTGTTGTAATTGAAAAACATTATTCGTGATTTCTTGAAACATTTAAAGCGGATATATTATAAATTTCTTATATTTATACACACAATGCCATTTTCGGCAAAAATTGATTCAATTATTTCGTCCTATTGTATAATGGTAATATTAATATACCTATCTAAGTAAATTACTTAAATAGCAATATCATAAAATATTAAAATTTACTTAGCATAACATTATAGGCGACAGACTTTCTTCCTCCTGAATCGTTTTTCGTATACAATGTTATATTATTTAATTCAAATTTAACACATCCATAATTATAGTGACCCACCACCCACATGACAACCATAAGCGCAAATAGTGTTTGACATTAGAGGAGGGGGGTAGTTATAGCTCAACTATAGACAAAAATATTGATAAACTTTAAAACAATTTACTCATGGGGTTCTATTGAATTTTTGCGGGGCTTGACCCCTAGATTCCCCCGTTATTTGCGCTTATAATGACATCTTTTGTGCAGCATAATATGTATCGGTACCTACTCACTTATCTACCTTTTTAAATTTGTAGAAAACGATAACACTATTTGCTAAATAATAATATAATAAGTTAATAGAAACTTCTAATACTCTTCTAAAACCTTGTTGTGTAGATACTTTTAATTTTGTTTATTAAGCTGTAAACATTCACTTGGATATACCTGTTATATTACGTCACACCTCAATGATAATGATTATTGATTAATAATTATTATGTTACCGATAATAATGTTTTTGACGTAGAATTCGTAGTTGGCCGTCGTATTATAATTACTTCGACTTTTGACGTAAATAATTCCCGACCCACGTGCGTATATGTTTAGAAACACATTCGATAATGTTGTTATGAATTTATGATCAACCATGCGCGGCAAAGCTACATAATAATATTATAGATTCTACAAACTAGGCATAATGAGTATATCTAGTACAGTAGTAAGTACCAAGTAGTAAAAATATACTTATATACCTTTTACCTAGTCAATATACAACTATACCTACATAAAATACGAACATATTATTTTAAATTAAGTGTCATATTATAATAGGTATACTCGTATATATTCTTAATATGAGTTAATTGAAATTAAATACATCTTTCTGTAATTACCGTTAAATAATAACACAAAATCATCCAGGACTGCAATTATTGCAATTGGTAAACCCATTCAGCCACCCCTCCCAAATTCCGGCCCTGATAGTCTACTGCAAAGCATCGTTAGTTTTCCGACTTTTTCATTTATAATATGTATTTAATTATTATGATGACGAGACGTATTATTTTTAGTAGGACAATACTTTGGCAAATGAGTTAATAAGCCAAAATTTAAAATTTTTTTTAGATTTGTAAATCTTCTATTGCCTGTTCTTATATTAAATATAATCGATCATTATTAGCCATTATCATGAAATAGTATGTTGTACAATTATTATGAATTACGTATTCATACAAATTATAATCAATTAAGTATTTCTAAACAAAGATTAGTAGTAAAAACACAAATTAGATGAATTTTACCTTTGAGTATTATAATACATGGAATATTCTAACCAGTCTAACAGATTATGTTGGGGGGGGGAGGGGAGCTGGGAAGATTATTACTTATTAGGGAGGTATGGTTAGGTTAAAGCCAGATAAGATAAAGTAATAACTGAAAATAAATTATTCAGAAAGTCGTAAAATGTAATATTTAATTTTTAATGAGATTTGTCTTTACTGCTATAACTATAATATTATAATTGTTATGTAAACTTACTTTAGGGATTAAATTAGGAAGGAATTATCCTGGAGGTTAAATTATATAATATACATGGTGTACATTAAATGCACATGCAATATTTTTATTTTTTTAAAACTCTTTTATAGATAAAACTGCTTGATAATAAAATGAATATAGACTGAAAAATATTAATTGTACACATTTTTTTCAATATTTTTCACTAAATCCCACTTAACTTTTTTTTAGCGACATAGCAACCCATACAAACTTCACTTGACTAGCTGAGTATATGTGGCATGCTAAATGCCTAGCATAATATTATAATTCATAATTTAAACAGTTTACACTGAAACCCAAAATATAGAAACATTAATAATATTTATTAGGAGTTATAACAAATAGAATCTATTATGATAACAAAACAATATATTTACAAAAATATTTTATTTTAACATAATTAAAAATTATACAACAATAATCGGATACTTGGTAAAAAATAAAACTAAATAAATGAAATATACTTTATGGTGAAGTTTTGTCGGATGAGGTAGGTGTATGACTTTTTGGTTCCTTTTCAAGAACAGTTTCTATTAAATTTTGTAATGTCTGAAAATTGAATAACTAATAGGTACATTCACTGATGAGAGATTTGCTTAATGAAATTTATTATGAAGTTATTAAATATAAATATCCATAGAAGCATAATATATCAAAATATTCAATACAAAATAATGTTATACCTATATTATTAAGTGTACTTCAAAGAATACATTTTATAAATTATTAAATTATAATTTGAATATATTTTTTATTTTTTTTGAAGATAAAATATATTTTTAAGTTATGTAAAAAAATATTCACCTGAGGTTTACAGTGTTCTTCAAGCCAACTGAACACGCAAGCAGAAAGTTCAGTAAAATTGTTAACATTAATATTACAAAATGTAAAAAACAATTCATCGATAATATTCTGAAACTACAAAATACAATTTTTATTAGCTACAGAAATGATAATTCTAARATAGCTAAAAGTTGAATTTATTTATTTATTATAAATAGACAAGTATAGAAATAAAATTTAAAAAAGAGAGTGAGAGTGAGGGAGGAGTCAGAAAAATTAAATAAAAATGTATTTATCTATTTAAAACATCTATTTATAATTACCATTTGAAATTTTTCTTCATCAGGTATTCTAGTTTCAACGTGACCCATTGGAATTTGTTGAGCTTTTACCATTTGTTCATAATTAGCTTGCATAATTCGTAATGCAACAACTTCTTTTCTTAAAGCATTACGTTCTTCTTCTAATTTTTTCTTTTGCAACAGCAAATACTAGATAAAATAAAATAAATATATAAATAGCAATAAACATACATATATTATATGTGTGTATGCGTATACAATACACTACATAGTAAGAATACTTTGAAATAAATATGTATTGTTCAGACATTTTTGTTTGCAAATTATAATATGTAAATAATTTATTACTATCAAAAATTATAATGGTGGAATAACGCCTCCACACACACACACACACACACACACACACTAAAACTAATTATGTCATTTTTTCTTCTACTAATCTTCCAATTGTGTCACTTTTTAATTTTTAAGTTAAATTTAATTGATTAAAAATTACTTGTATGTAATCTATGGATTTTTGTAATACTGTTGCTTTGCTTAGTTTATAACCACTGCTATCTGTTTGCTGACATGTTGGAACTAAATCTTGTAAACAATCATAACCTTTTTTTATGGCATCACGACGTTTTTGTTCAGCTTGGGTATGAGCTTCTCGTCGCCTTTCTTTGTAATTATTTGGTGAACCTTTTTCTTCACTATCGTCATCTTCTACAAAAATAGAAAAACAAGTAAAAACATTGAGTTRCAGCATTTACAGTTACAGTTTAACAACAATAATAGTTGATGATAATAATAGATGTAAAGAGGCAAGCTGCTAAGTAAATAATGCTTTAGAGTAAAATATTTGAAGAAAGAATGAAAACGCAGATATGAAGTTTTGGAAATTATTAAGATTTAACTTACAATCTTATTATACTCCCTCATCGGTACACCTACAATTAATTATGAAGAGACACCCAGTTATAGACTGTGATATTACTGACATCGACAATCCAGATGGGCCAATTCTCTCATCCTACACTATTGTATAAACTCATCTGGTAAAAGTTGTTTACACCGAATTCTGCACATCGGGATTACTGGCAACATAACTAAAATCATGGTTAAGTATTATACAGTATAATAGTTAACTTAACTATGTATATTATGAAAAATAAGAGAATTATTGAATACAAATGTATACACATATATATGTATATATATACATTTATTATGTTCTAGGAAATGTACCTAATGGTTCTATTATAATGATGTATATAATTCAGTTAAAAATGTCTGACATTTTTTAGAATTTTAAATTTAAAAATTACATAAAAATAAATAGGCTTAATTTTACAACTTGCCTACAAAGTTAACTTGTTTAAATACATACCATGACCACTACTACTACTATGATTTCCTGTATGTAGGGAACTCCCACTACTAGATCGACTAAATGGATTTGTATTTCGTATTGGACTAGATGGTTCAACTTTCATGTCTAAAAATGTAAATTTATAATTAGTAAAATATAAAGTCTTAGTCTTTAGATTAAAGTAGTTTAAAAACACCATACCATCACTATCTCTAGAATCCATGATTTTTTAAATGATTGTAATGCATCAAATAATTTTATTAATCTAAAAATAAATAATACACCTATAAATATTTTTTCTAATGAAATTATTATATAAATCTTAAGTATAAAAATACATAATTCAAATTGTTATGTTAGGTAATATTAAAAATGTTAATATAACTGTGGTGCATTATACAATACATTAGACAATTTTAGGTATAATTAGTAAAAATGAAAGAAACTACGTATGGAAGGATTTTTTAAAAATATARACAGCAGTATATTTATACATATTTGTTAAAATGTTAAAATAAAATAATGCAATTGTGCTGTAGATTATGTAACTAGGAATATAATTCAATTTAATAATAAAACATATTGAACATATTCAATAAAATGTCTAGGCAAACAATTATTTTAAAATACTAGACATGTATAAATACAAAGTAAAAAAGTTTTAATGTACATTTGTTTATTTGTTTAGTTCAGTAAGCAAAACTCATACAACTTTTTATAGGCCATCAGTCAATGAGTTGGTGAATTTTCAGAGGAGGTATATATGTGCCTTACACTTTGTGAACATTTAAGTTATAAGTTGAAATGATTTAAAAAGCAGTTTTAAATATTTGTTGGTAATCAATGTCTGACATCTGTGATTGAGCGTYGGTACTAGTACCAGACTGCAAAAAATGGGTAAAATTAAACAAACTCCAATAGTTTATGATGGCCTTTGCATATCACTATATTAAGTATTGTATAGAAATTCACAGTTAATGTATTTAATTTTTTTTCTTTTATTTAATTGTGAAGAGAAAATACAAATATATCTCCCTCCAACAGGAATAACTGATTATAGCAGAATTTAACGGCAAGTATATCCAAGGTATTGCTTATATTTATTATTTTTTATTTATATATATATATATATTCATAACGACTTTTAAACGAATTAAATTGCACTCTATAAATGGTCGAATAATCACTGTGATTAAAACAATAAATGCCATTTACCAATCCCGGAGAGTTTGTCCGTCATTCCGCCACAGACCGACGACCGACGACTCACTCACCGTGTCACTCGTAGTAGATGCTTCTCCTCTTGCCAAAGGCTTATGGAGAATGTCACCGAAACGAAAAACGAAGAAAATATCATGTGAAGAAGGAAAACAGTAGTAACGATTATCGGCGAGTAGATAGCAGCAACAATAATTATTCGCGAGCACAGAGAAACAATTAAATCCAAACAACGCTTAAAAAATAATAATATCGCATTTGGTGTGCGCTACACATTTGATCGGTAGCGCCGTCGCCGCCACGGTGCGTTTTTTATCGAACGTATCAGCACGACCGCCGTCCGCCGGGAAATGGATAGACGGCCATAATAATAATAATGTATAAAACGCGGTTACGTGTGGTTGTACCATAGACGGCGGCGGTGACGAGTGCGGAGTGATGGCGATCGGTAGGAAACGTTCACTACGACGTCCTATCGATACTGATACGAGACGTGCGCGATGATARAATAATAATAATAATAACATTACTAATTATAATGTTTTAATCTTAGATCATATTATACAATAGTATATGATCTAAGGTTTTAATGGTTCTATTGYGAATATTGCGATAGTAATCGTTAACGGTAATAACTTTAACGTCTTGTCGTGCAACGATGTCCTTGGGTGGGGAGGGGGAGGGGGTACCGGCTGTTCCACCTGTAGAGCCGCGACGTCGGGCTAGACGTGGGATGATAGCTGGTATGCGGATGATAATGGAAACGCTGATAACAGATTTTACTATTATTGTTATTGTTATTGTTATAAAAATTGTTGCCTACGTAAAGTCGTCGTCGTCAACGGGATAATATTGGGAAGACGGTAGCGGTGTTACGGTTACGTCCTAACGTGTCGCAACTATGATATAATTATACAGTTATTTACAGTAACAATTAAATACTAAAAAAATATTCGTTTGAAAACAAGTCCATTATATTTAAAAATTTTGAAAATTTTGAAAATTAAAAGAACAATTATTATTCTTAGGTAACAAGGTACGAGTTACCTATCGCCTATCGCCTGCGAATAGTTATCAATAGGTACATACTATACCTTGATACCTATATACGAGCACATGGCTACATTAGGTATATWAGGTATCAATTATTTTGTGTTTATATTCATTATTCACCACAACATTATCATCTATTAACAAATCGTTTTTTTCAAACATTTATTTTGAATTTTCTTTAGAACACTTCTAGAATAGTGGCTTTAGCTCAGAGGTTTTCCATAATTTTTTTTCACGTACCTTCCACTAACGAGTAATGACTAAAAATCAGGTTATGCTTTGCTGTACAAGTGTGAAGTGGGTCACTGCACTGGATGGTGTMAAATTTTAATTCAATTATGTTATTATATCATTGAATACTTCAGAAAAACGATTCTCAGCGTAGACGGTTTATCAACCTACGATATGTTATATTTTATTGATATYAATATTATTATTACTGTAGCCGTTAGGTAACCTAACTTAGGTTGAATTAATATTATTTGTGTGTTGCCTGTTATCATATTAAAATAAAATAATTTAATTTGAAAGTTGCAWGTACCCACGAATATTACTTTTAAAATCGTTGTTTTTAGTTGTTTAATAGATAATTTTGAATTTAATATTTAATTTTTTAATTATAAAATAAGCTACTTATTTATGTAGTGATTCCATAAGTTTATTGTTTTATATTTTCGATCTTTAGTTAAGCAAATTGAACGTTTTATACATTTTTAACTACAAAACAATTTGTAAATTTTCAAATTAATACATTTTTCAATATTTGAACTTTCAATGCTTAGAAAAAAAAATCATCTCTATGTATTTTCATTGTTTTTCAACTGTTAATGTTACAATATATCAGGAATCAATTTTAAAGTTTTTTGACTCGACAAAAAAAATGGTGTTGACATTGACAAAAAATAAAAAAATAAAAATAAAATTCAGTAGGTATACAGCTCAAAAAAATAAAAAATATTTTGAAAATTACATCAAGTAATATAGTTCATGATGAAATAAACGTTTGGTGTAAATTTCAAGTAACTAGTAACAAGTAACTTTGTTATTGAATTATAACAAAATAGGAAAATCGTTTTATGAGAAATTGAGTTAATACCTATCCAATGTTGTAAAAATTTGAACTTCAAACGCTCATAAAAATTTAATTTGACTTTCCAGTACCTAGAATATTGATAAAAGTAGAAAAATTTATGAAAATTCTTGTTTTAAATTTTCAAATCTTAGATCTTAGAYTTAAAAAYCTAACATTTTTGAGTATTTGACCAAAATTCAAAATTTCGCTTTTGAAAACTATTGGGAATTTTAATTTTAGACCTCCCGAATACATTAACTACGTATATTCACTATTTCACTTTTCCACCAGAAAATATACTATAGTTGAAAATTAAAGCATTATTTTGATTAATTACATGAATAAAAATCTAAAAAACAATTCACTATAAAATAAATACATTCATCGATCCACTTAGAACCTAGAATTGAATTACCTATTAAAAATTGTAATAAGGAAAATTAAGAATGTACAATAATAATAATTTACATTTTAAAGTAATTACAACTTACTATATACACATTACATATCCATTAAAAACTAAATTTAATGCGTTACAAATATTAGTTTAAATATTTATTTATTCATTTTCCGTGCTACCACTTGTCTACCAAGTAACACCACTTATCGCTGCAAGTGCAGGTACACAGTTTGAACATAATTGCTGCACCTATTTTTAGCCCCTACAATTGCCCAATTGTATCTAACAATAAAMATTTTATACACGTAATAAATAGTTATATTTTCTATGATAATTTAAATTCATTTTTGAAAAGTTAATGTTCTAGTAAAATTGGAGAAAGGTATCTCAGTATACAACAGCCTATAAAACTGAATTTCCAAGAACATTCAAATTAATTAAAGATTTATAAAAGTTTGACACAGTTACGTAGACAAATTTAGGAGAATGTTCTTATCCAGATTTGATTTTCCCGTGGGAATTACGAGTAGACAACAGTGTAKGTACTATATAATCGTAATTAGATGCCTACCTACTAGCAATTATGACAGATGGTGACCGTAGCTAAGTGGCAATTGCAATMAAGTACTGTTGCAAAAACTTTCAAAAATAAAAACATTTAAGATGTTATGTAAACCTTTATAATAGTGACTACTTCTTATTTTGTATATTTCATCTAAAGACATTTTTGATTCTATTAATAGTTAWAATATAACATTGTATATTATATTATTATTATTACATTTATTTATAATTTTTGATGTTACCAACATATTATAATCTACCTATTTTGTGTTTTTAAATATTAAATGGTAGTATGGTACACTAAATATCGAGTCGCTCTTAGACGCATTGAAATAAATCGAATGTAAAAACAATAATAGTATCATATATATTTAAATTTAACAATTTTTGATAGACAGCGAGACGAATAATTAACAGTTTTCGATTTATTCGTAATTATTAGTCTGTTGTTCTATTTAGATAACCCATTCTATTAATCAACTTGTTTTTCACATCGTTAATGAATTAATGTATAATTATTTTGTACAAAAAAACTCTATGTGATGAACAATACAGGTACCAGGTACCCGTATTGGAATTAATTAAAACAATTAACTAATATTTTGTGCCATAGTGCCATACGTTTATTTATTTTTAAATAAATAATGATAACAATTAACACTTATAAAACCTACATAACAAAATTTAGACCTGAGTACAAATAATGTTTAATATCTTTTAAGTATATTTATAATTTCCTAAAAGAAAAAAATTAGCAATTTATGACTATGTTACTCGTATATAAATACCTATATATAGTTATATAA